TACTACACACCAAAAGAACTGCATTTTTTTTTTTTTTTTTTTTGGTCTAATTTATACAGACAGAAATCTAGGGAATATGAGCGGGAATGGATCTTAAGGATATAGGATCATGGTGAAAGGAATATAAAGTTGGATCAGGTCGAATTTATTAACATGGCCCCACTAAGCATAGATTCTGCATTCAATGTGTTAGTTGGTGGGGTTGTAAAGGACCCTAATAGTTTGTTTGTGACCCCCAACATAAAATCCAGATGGATTAAATAATTAAATGGGAAAAATATCAAACCAATTAAATGGTCCCAAATGGAAAATCTTAAGAAAAATATTGATAAACTTGAATCTGTTATATTTTTAAAATTCTGTTTGTCTAAAACCACCATAAACAAACTTAAAAGGCAACCCACAAAGTGGAAATATACGCACAATATACAAGACAGGAAAGTGTTAGCTTAATGCCATTAATAGAAAGAGCTGAGTAAAACATTAAGTTTTACAGTAAAGTAAAACAGATTAAAACTCCAATAGAAAAAGAAGGGATTGAAGATATGAATAGGCAATTCACAAAAGAAGAAATTCAAACAGCCAATAAACTGGCGAAAGATATTTAGCCTCACTAATCAACAAAGGAATACACTCTAAAAAACATGATGATAACTTTTTCATCTATGAAATTGGCAAAGTTTTTGTTTTGTTTTGTTTCTTTTTAATGAGAATACCTAGACTTGAGGAGTAATAGGTGAAATGGGCACCCTCATACACTGCTGGTGGGAGTGAAAATTGTTGTACTATTTCTGGAGGGCAATTTCACAATTTGCATCAAAATTCTTAAAATAGTCACTCCCTTTAACCAGTAATTCCCTTTATAGGGTTTTATGCTAGGATTATTAGGGATATGCATACAGATCTTAAAGTGGGATATTCTTTGATGCATTATGTATGACAAAAATAGATTAGTTATTATTAGACAAATTCTTTATGATAGAAAATAAAATCCTGAATGCCCCAAAATGTCAGAAATTTAAAAAGGCACCTGGTGAAAATCCTGGACCAAGGCTTGCCAAGTCACAGTTACTCAGTAATGGGGGTCATCATTATTACTTCTATAGTTTTAGCCTTTGGAGTCACCTAGCCACCTTACTTGGACTTGGGTGGTTCCAACAGGTTCTCATGACCATGTTCATTCTGGTTGCTTTCATCCTCAGAGAAAGCCCTGTTGCACAATGCTGGGGGAACTACTCTGCAATTTGCTTTTGTGAATATCACCCCTCCCTCTCAATAAGGTAGAGGAAAGACAGAAATTTTCACTAAGCCAGGTGCAAAGTCAACAGGGATCAGACCCAGCCCATCCCTGCCCCAGAAGCCTCCTTTTACTGTCTCCACAAGAGCTAGGTCACTCACAACCCAAAATGGTGTGTCTCCAGGGTGAAGATCCATCCTCTCCAAGGTTTCCCTCTCTCTTCCAACTGGGTCACTCAGTCACCCAGAAGTGCTCATACCCTACCTCTCCAGCGCTTCTCCCTTATTCCTCAGGTCTGACCTCATCACACTCTCACTGCTTCCCATTCCCTCTCTTTCCTGTCCTGCCCCAGAGGTCTGTTGCTCATACACATTTGGCACTGGAAGGCTCTCCTCCCTTGGACTCCCACTTATCCCCTTCCCCCACTCTACTAATACCCACTGTACTTGGTTTGGAAATTGCCTGTGTGTACATCTCTCTCCTACGTTAGACTATAAGCTCCCTAAAGGCAGGGACATTGCCTCAGTCATCTTTCTATATCCAGAGATAGAGAGATTTTCAAGACAAGCAAGGGACCATCTAGCGAAATTTCTGTTTCACAAAGATAACTCTGGCCACAGAAGTGAACAATATGCAGTAGAATGCTATTTGCAATATTAAACAACGTCCCCCACCTGGTACCTCCTGTTATACCCTCTGTGGTGGGCACAATTGGTTGTCCACTGAGAAACACCCTCCAACCAGTTCTTCCTTCTTGGCACAGGTTTACCCCCAGGAAACTCAGTGAAGTGACCTCCTCCTCCCTAGCCCCTAGGGGTACATCCTGATTAGTCTGAGGCTAGGGGTGGTGTTCTTCCCCTTGTCACCCAATTGGTCTAAGGCTAGGGATGGTGATCTTCCCCTTGTCATCTGTCTCAGTTATCTAGTGCTGCTATAACAAAAATACCACAAGTGGGTGGCTTTAACAAACAGAAATTTATTCTCTCACAGTTTATGAGGGTAGAAGTCCTAATTCAGGGTGCCAGCTCCAGGGCAAGGCTGTCTCTGTTGGCTCTGGGGAAAGGTCCTTGTCATCACTCTTCCCCTGGGTCTAGGAGTTTCTCAGCACAGGGACCCTAGTCCAAACGATGTGCTCCGCTCTTGGCTCTTATTTCTTGGAGGTGGGCGTTCCCTCTCCTCTCTGCTCACTTCTCTTTTATATCTCAAAAGAGATTGACTCAAGATACAACTTAATCCTGTAGATTGTGTCCTGCCTCATTAACATAACTGCCTCTAATCTTGCCTCATTAACATCATAGAGTTAGGATTTACAACACATAGGTAGTTATATCAGATCACAAAATGAAGGACAACCACACAATATTGGGAATCATGGCCTAGCCAAGAAGACACACATTTTGGCGAGACACAATTCAATCCATAACAAGACATTTCTCCAAGGAAGATATATAAATGGCCAATAAGCACATGAAAAGATCTTCAACATCTTTAGCCATCAGGGAAATACAAATCACAATGACAATGAAGTACAACTTCATACCCGCTAGGATGCCTAGAACCAAAAAGACGGATAATAACAAATGTTAGGGAGGATGAGGAGAAATTGAAATCCTCGCACAATGTTGGTGGGAATGTAAAATGGTACAGCCACTTTGAGAAACAGTCTGACAGTTCCTCAGAAGATTAAACATAGAGTTAAAAGATTAAACATAGAGTTACCATATGACCCATACACACTCCTAAGTATATATCAGAGAGAAGTAAAAACACAAAAATTTGTCACAAACGTTCATAGCAGCATTATTCATAATAGCAAAGAAGTGGAAACAACTCAAATGTCCATCAACTGATGAATGGATAAATGTGTACATTCATATGATGGAATATTATTTGGCAATAAAATAGAATGAAGTACTGATACATGCTGCAATTTAGATGAACCTCAAAAACATTACGCTAAGTGAGAAGCCAGTCACAAAATACCACATATTGTATGGTTCCACTTATATGAAATGTCCAGAATAGGCAAATCTATAGAGACAGAAAGCAGATTAGTGGTTGCCTCCAGCTGGTAGAAGGAGCCCTGGTGGCACAGTGGTAAAGCATTTGGCTGCTAACCAAAAGGTCAGCGGTTCAAACCACCAGCCGCTCCGTGGGAAAAAGATGTGGCAGTCTGCTTCTGTAAAGATTTACAGCCTTGGGAAGTCCTATAGGGTCACTATGTGTTGAAATCGACTCGACAGCAACAGGTTTTATAGCTGATGGAGATGGGGACAATGGGGTGTGATGGTTAAAAGGTATTGGGCTTCTCTTTGGGGTGATGAAAACATTCTATAATTATTGTAATGGTTGCACCACTCTGAATACGCTAAAAATCATTGAATTGTTCACTTTAAATGGTGAATTGTATGGCATGTAAATTATATCTCAATAAAACTGGTACCCAACAAAAAGGAAGCAGAAAAAGAGAGAGTCCTGGACCTGTGTTAAGAGTCTAGCAGTTCACACAGTAACTCTACATGTTATTTCTTTTTGTCCTCCAAGCAAACTTTGGTGGAGGAATTACTTCAATTTGACAGACATCAGTGTATTGTGTGGTCTCAAACCCGACCCTAGCTCCAAAAGGAGAGAAGGAAACCAGCTTAGGTACCTACCAAGTGCAAGGTGCTATGCCAGGTTCTTCACACATCATCTCAGTCCTTGATACACCCTGTGAAGAAGATATTATTGCCCCATTTTACAGATAAGGAAACCTAAGACAAACAGTTAGGACATGACATAGCATGATTCAAACTCACTTCTGTACAGTTCCAGTGCTAGTGCCCTTTCCCTTATACCCACCTCTGGCTCCCCCATGAGTTGAATCCTGTGTCCTGGCTGCTAAGTGCCCCTGCCTGCTCCCACTCCTTCCCCCTTCCCCAGCACCATGCTGCTGGGTTTTTGCCCCTTCCTCTCTTTTTGCCTACTCCTCTCACCTGCCTGCCTGTCTACCCCCACTGCACAAAAAGAACAATGAGCTAGCTTGGCATCACAGCCAGCTGGCCCTGTTCCCCAGAGAAAGGAATCCAGTACCGGAGAAACCCATCAAGGAAGCCCTAAGGGACCTAAAGGAAGGGGAAGAGACACTTCTCACTGTAAATGGGCCAAGCTAGAGACCCTGCCTCCCAGAGGAGCCTTCTGATAAAGGTAGGCAAGGCACTGTTCTCCTTGGGACCTCCTAGCCAGAACTCCCAGCCAGATCTCCCACCTTGAGCAGACTCTCAGGGGAGCAGAAGGCTCCACAGTGGGGCAGCAACGGGAACAGGGACATTCTCTAGTGGGTGCAGTCAGGTGCTTTGGCCTGTGCTGGAAGTTTAGACACTGGACTTCAGCCCAGACATCAAGTGCCAGCCCTTACCCCTTCCTGGGAAATTTTCACAGTAGGTTTCAGGGAATGAAATGACCCATACCTGGCTCCCACTACCTTTTCTTCCCATTGGTGCACAAGTGCTAGGGTCCGATCTGAGAAAAGGGTCTTTCCCTACAAGGGGAGATGGCTCAGGAGGAAGACAAGGATATAGAAGATAAGGTTGAGGGTGGAACTGAGTCACCATGGTCATCCCACCTGCCACCCCAGGCCCTGAGGACAGGGCTTCTCTGCTAAGCCCAGCCAATAGGGTCCTGGGACGAATTGGCTGGATGAGGGCCAGTTACTTCTGGGGTGGAGCTGGCTCCTCATGAAAAGATGGAGAGCTGCTCAGGGTTCAGCATGAGCTGAAGAGCCATGGCCAAGATGAGGGGTAAGTGGGGTCCCTCCACTAGGTCTGATAGAGAGGATCCTAAGGAAGACACTGAAACAAGAAGAGGAACTAGATCAGGGGAGGGGGATGGTCCAAGGAGGTTGAGATGGGTTTGAGGATGAGTTTGGGAATAGGGCCATGCAGGGGAAGGGAATAGGAGCTAAATCAGGGGTAGGGTGGGTTTAAGTGTTGAAAGTGAGTCAAAAGAATGAAGACGGGTCTGGAGAATGAATCGGGGGAAGAGTATTCAAGGAGAAGGAGGATGGGGACTAAGGCAGGATGGTGATAGCGCTGGGAGATGAGAAAATCTGTCAGGGCTGGAGATAAGGTTAGGGAGGTTCAGGCAGGCCTGGGGGATACAGTCAAGGGGTGATGCCTGAGGATCTCTCCCATGAGGCACGGTAACTCCTCTCTTTTCTCTTCTGAGGCGTCTCCCTGCAGAAGGCTGTACCAGCACTGGGAGGGGTCTGCACTGGGAACCAGTGAGGTCTCCTGCCTTTCCTCAGTGAGTGACCCTGAATATCCCTTTGCTTCTGTGAGCTTCAGTTGTCCCACCTGTTCAAAGAGGGGCACTGGACTAAAGGGGTTCTGACCTGCCAAAAAAAGCCTAGGGTTAGTGGAACAGGTACAGTATGTCGCAGTTCCTGGAGCAGACTCCCAGGTAAATTTCTCTGTATCTCAGGACAGTTAACAGTGGAGAAGAAAAACAAATCACTCAGGACATGTTGCATCCTATATATTAACTATATGAACAACAGTTTTCAATCTTGGCTGCACATTAGAATTACCTAGAGAGCTTTGGGGGAAAATTCTGTGAGACTGGAGAAGAATAGGACTGCCAAGATCCCATAGGTCACTAGTGATCACACTGAGGAGATGGTCTCACATACACACATCCCCCCCACCCCGAGAACTGTGCCTTCACATACTCTCACTTTCACACATACACACGCACTCACGAATCACACGTTCCCTAAGAACTAGACACCTTCAGACTCTCCCACCCAGCCTCATGCTCAAAATGCACACGCAGAATCAAACACAAGACCACGAGCACGCACATTCTCTGTCTCATACAAAGGCGCACATTCTGTCACCCTCCCTCTTCTAAACTCCAGGCCAACACCCATCCAGTTCTACAGCCCATCTTGCCTTCTCACACAGATTCATACCTCTTTCCTCAGAACCCACATTGCCCTACAAACACACCGTCACTTACAATCACAGACAATGCAAAGCCATACAGGTCAACAACCACAAACTCACAACCACAGAAACTTACATTGCTATCAGTTACACACAAATTGATAACGCACACAGATCCACATTTACACGTTCCGCATTTACAGACATGCTCACACACACACTCACCGTCAGAAGCAAGCATACTGACAGCCAAACACGAACTGCACAAACTCATGGACTTTCCGTTACACGCGCACACGAAAACTTGCATTTCCATATTCACAGTCACACATTAATCACATAACTAACACACTACCAGAGTTCCCACATGCATTCACACCCCACCCAACACAATCACCCATTTCCCCACATAGACACAGAGGCACAAGGACACACACTGACAATCACACACTCACCAGACTCTGTCCTGACCTTCCATTCTGACCTGACTCACCTGGCCACATTCATTATACAGCCAAGATCATCCTGGATGAAAAGAGGCACAGAGTCTGGGCCCCAGAAAGGCAGCTCCCATTCCTTTCTCTACCCTCAGGAATCCTGATCTTGGGGCTCCTGCTAATCACCCCCAGCTGCCTTGGCTACTTTGAGGATCTGGCCAAGTGCTTCAAGGATCCCGAGTATGAGTCCATCCTCCTCACAGCCCAGGAGGGGCTCCACACCTCCCCGCTGCCCAAGTGGGTGGTGGTTGTGGGAGCTGGCATGTCAGGCCTGGCAGCAGCCAAGGCCCTGCAGGACTCTGGCCACCAGGTGAGGAGGCTTTGGAGAGATGCCTTCCAGTTTGCTCCTTAGGGTGGAAAAAGAAAAAGAACTGGCTTACCACCAACTCTTAGACAATTGTACATAACCCACTAGGTCTCTTAACCCTTAATTATTGTTCCTCAAAAATCTGGGTTCACCCATGAGACTTGACCGTAATTGCGACTTGTGTTTTAAAGAAAACAAAAGTGGAAAAGAGTTATGCTAATAAGCAAGGGCTAGCAGATGGTGTGTCTCTTGCCCACCCGTGGAGCCCTTCTTCTTCATTTGCATTACTGCAAGACCCTTCTGCTTGAAACATTCCCAGTTTGGTTATCCTGCACATGCAGGGGCCTAATGCTGGGAATTCCAGGCTAGAGCTTGTGGTGGGGTGAGGGTGGGAGTACAGGGTGGGAAGAAAGGAGAGCATGGCTCTGGAGATGACAGCAGCTTCTCTGGACTCCAGGTAACCATCTTGGAAGCCAGCAACCACATTGGGGGTCGGGTGACCACATTCAGGAATGAGGAAGAGGGCTGGTACGTTGAACTGGGTCCCATGCGAATCCCACAGTCCCACAGGTAAGTCCAGGAAGTGGAGCAAAGGGTAAGTAGGAGGGATGAAGATGAGGCAGGAGGGGCCCTGGTGCCATCATGTCAAAGCCCTTTCAGAGTCACTGTTTCATGTGATTCAACCCTGCACGTCAGGGCTAAGACTCATGTCTCCACTTACAGAGACGAAGACTGAGGCTCAGATCCCAGGTCACACAGAAAGTGGTAGATCCCAAACTAATAGTTATAATAATTACCATTAACTCATAAAATTATATACCTTAAATATCAAAAACACCAAACCAAACTCGTTCCCTTCGAGTCGATTCTGACTCATAGCAACCCTATAGGACAGAGTAGAACTGCCCCATACTGTTTCCAAGGAAAGCCTGATGGATTTGAACTGTCGACTTTTGGTTAGTAGTCAAGCTCTTAACCACTGCACCACCAAGGCTACACTTTAAATATGGGCAGTTGCATATAAGTCAATTATATAACATTAAGCTGTAAAATAAATAACAACAGCAGACACCATTTGTTGAGTGCTTACTATGTGCCAGGCCCTAGTGCTAAGCACTACATGGGCATTATTTCATTTGATCCTTGCAACCATATAATTTGATACTCTTATTCCCATTTACAAATGGAGAAATTAGGCTCAGATATAATAAGTGACTCACCCAAGTTTCTTCTATGAGAAAGTGACAAATCTTCTCCTCAAAGTTAAGGAGGCACCTGGCACAAAACTGTATGTTTAACCCTAAGCCATAACTGACTCACAGAAGAGGACCCAGCTCCTAGTTCTGAGACTTCCAAGACAAAAGAGACCCCCAGGCTGGTGTCCCCCATGCCTCCACAATTATGATTTCTTTTTGCCTTAAGTGTAAACTGAACCCAAGATATTCCCTACACACCACCAAAAGCAAAAACAAAAACCAAGTGAATCAGACTAAAACTAGGAGTCTTTAGGTATTGCCTCGAACTTACTTAGAAATGAAAAATGGAATTTCAAATACTGTCTGAAACAAAGGCCTCTATCTCTACATTTGAATTCCCATAAGCTGGGATTCCCAAGGATCTTTATTCAATGATGGGTGAATTCCCCACCCCTTATGTCCCTGGCGCAAAAACAGAAGGAAAAGAACTAATGCTGCAGCAAGAGGAAACTAGACTAGAGTTGAAGCACTTAGTCTGAGCTCCCTGGGCAGAGTTTTCCTGGAAATGGTTTCTACTGTGAGGTCTACAGGAATAAGGTACCATTGGGATGGATTTCATGTTTTACCTTGTCCGCTCCAGGCTGGTTCACACCTATATCAAAAAGCTTGGCCTGAAAGTGAACAAGTTCATCCAGTATGATGCCAACATCTGGTTCCTCATCAATGAACAACACTATCGCACCTGGGAGGTCAAGGCCAATCCAGAGCTCCTGGGCTACTCTGTGAACCCCACAGAGAAGGGCAAGGATGCTATAAATCTCTTCCATGAGTCCATCACCAAGGTGCCTCCTGCCTCACCCCTTCTAGGGTCGGGAAAGAACAGGTTTGGCCAAAGGTCACCTGGCAAATTAGTGGATGGACCCAGGTCACCTAAATCCTATCTGGTGCTCTTGTGATTATTGGTACACCTTCCTCCTCAAACCCCTAAGAATGTTGCCATCTCTACCCCAGTGCCCAGCCCCAACACTTCTCCCATCCTTGGATTCGACAGCCCATTGCTTGATCAGTGGCAGTGGAAGAAAAGAGAATCACTAGATAACCCAGCTCTTGGTAATAAGTCAGTCTTCCTCTTTGCCTGAAAATTTAGTCTCCAAAAAATCTTTAAATGAAGGGGGAGGTACTTGGGGAAAGAAGAGCATTCTGGGGCTCCTAGAACCACCTTTCTCCCATCCTTCCTTCCTCACACTCTTTTGCTCACATCCTCTTCAAAATAATAGCCAGAGAACCCACGAGTCCTGCCTCTGGCTCTTTGGTTCTAATCTAAGGCTCCTTCCCCTTCTGTAGCTCAGACAAAGTCTGAAAACATTCAACTGTAGCTACCTGATGTCCTTGTATGATTCTTACTCCACCAAGGTAAGTGGGCCAGGGAAGTTTCAGGATAGAGGTAGAAAGGGTCTGTGCTCAGCATAGTCCTCTGTGGTTGTCCTCTGCCTACCAGGGCCCTCTCTTGCCACTGCCAAAGCCTTCATCTCCCTGCAGTCCTGCCCTACCTCTTGCCTGGGCCCAGGCCCAGGACCCTGCTGAAGCCCCTTCCTACATACTACTTCCTCCACCTGGCACTTCCATACATGGTGACCCCATTCCCATCCCCACAGGCTTACCTGCTGAAGGAAGGGATGCTGAGCCGAGGAGCAGTACAGATGATCGGGGATGTGATGAATGAGGATGCTGGATACTTTAAGTCCCTCCTGGAGTCACTGCGGATTGATATGATTGTCTCCAACAGCGATAGGTGAGACTGATCTGGGGCCAGAACTAGGGTCTGTCCTGAGCTCTCTCTTCCAACACTCAGAGCAGAGAAAGGGAACTACAATTTATTGAGTATTTAGTATGTGCCAAGCACTATGCTAACCACTTTCCAAGAATTATCACTTTTAATCCTTATGACCTCCTATACTCAACCCAATCCAACCCACCGAAGTCAAGTTGATTCCAACTCATAGCCACCCTATAAGGAGCCTTGATGATACAGTGGTTAAAGCACTTATCTGCTAACCAGAAGGTCAGCAGTTTGAACCCACCAGCTGCTCTGTAAGGAGAAAAACATGGCAGTCTGCTTCGGTAAAGACTTATAGACTTGGAAACCCTATGGGGCAGTTCTACTCTGTCCTATAAGATTGTTATGAGATGAATGACCACCTATAAGGTATATATATTATGCAGAGCCATTTTACAGATGAGGATGCTGAGGGTCAGAGAAGTTATGTTCTCTGAGCCAATTTTACCCAAGTTCACACAACTTGGGCAAGGTATGGAGCCAAACCCAGAATCCAAACCCAGGTCTGTGCACAACTCAACTTGTGTTCCTTCCACCTGGGAAGCAGAATTGCATGGTGGCTGAATGCATGGGCTATGGAGTTAGATTTCTATAAGATCTTGAGCAAGCCTTTCTCTCTTCTGGGTTCAGTTTTCTGAACTATAAAATTAGACAGTAATTCCTACTTCACAGGGATTAATGAAGGTGATGTATATGAAATATCCAGCACAGTGTGCAGGAAATAAATTTCCTCCTTTTCAGACCAGGAACAAACCCAGATGTTGGTCTAGCTAATGTCCCTCCCACACTCACCCTCTCCCCCCTTCACCTCTGCAGTTTTACTGAGATCACAGGTGGCTTTGACCAGCTCCCCAGTGCCCTTGGAGCCAGCTTGGAGCCTGGCACTATCCATTTGAGGTCCAAGGTGGAGAAGGTCATGAGGGATGGGCCTGAGGTCCAGATTTCTTACCGTGTGGGTGGGCCCAACTCGACAGTGCACACCATCACCGCAGAGTACGTCATCATCTCAGCCTCAGCCAAGACCACTCGCCTTATCACCTTTAAGCCACCTCTCTCCCCACAAAAGATGGATGCTCTTCGCTCACTGCATTACACCAGCTCCACCAAGGTGATTCTGGCCTGTAATGAGCCCTTCTGGGAGCACGATGGCATCCGGGGCGGAGTCTCCATCACTGACCAGCCCTCGCGCTACATCTACTACCCCAGCCACAGACTGCCAAACGGCAAGGGGGTCCTGCTGGCCTCCTACACTGTGGACGATGATTCCATGTTCTTTGTATCCATGCCTCAAGACCACGTAGTGGACATTGTCCTGAATGACCTTGCAGCTGTGCACCAAATGCCCAAGGAGACACTGCAGCGCATGTGCCCCTCCTCTGTGGTCAAGCACTGGTCTCTGGACCCCTTCATCATGGGCGCCTTTGCTGAGTTCACACCCTACCAATTTGTGGACTTTTCACAGCAGCTCTTCCAGCCAGAGGGCTGCATCTACTTTGCTGGCGAGCATACCTGCCTACCCTATGCCTGGATAGACACTGCCATCAAGTCTGGGCTCCGGGCTGCCAGAAACATCCAGGCTGCTGTAGACAAGGAGGCTGCTGTGGGACAGAGGCCTCTGTAGAAAACTCTCCCCAACAGAAAGGTTCTTTCTTATCCTGACAGAAATCCCTGAGGGAGCTGGGCAGGGAGTAGGCTGGGAGGTGAGAGGAGGAGGCAGAGACCTAAGAGGAAGGTCACCATTAGTCCCCCCGGGCCACAAGCAGAAACCCAAAAATGCCAAACAAGCTGGCAAGCCCACAAGAAACATCAGCCCCTTTCCTGCTTTTCTCCCCTGCCATCCTTAGGCAGGAAAGGCGCATCAGGTCAGGATATATGAACACAGATAAGGGGAAAACCAAGGAAAGCTGTCTCCTGCTGCATAATAGTAATAAGTAAAAAATAGAAGTTTCAACAGAACCCTCATCTCTGTCATCTGCAAATACAAGTTCCCAAATGAAAAACAAACCCCAAACCACAATAATGTTAAAACACAGATGGACAACACACAAACCCACAGCACACACAAATCCCATCATTGCATGCCTGAGCCAAAGCCCTCCCATCTTGGGCCAGTATTGAGTCTGGGTGTAAGGGAGAGAGAAGGATTCTTTTGTTGCAGCAGTGGGATCTTAACTCCTTAGAGATGTCTCCTGGCCCACACTTTTCCTTTCCCCCTTCAACTTCCCTTCATCAACCAGAACCTGGGCCTCCACCTTTCCAGTCCATGCATCATCCTGGGAGAACACAAAACTCATTCCACATGCCTCTTCCCCACTCTTATATGCTCCTCTCTAAAACTTTGCCTATCCTTCAGGACCGACTTAAGTTATCATCCCTCCCCAAATCCTCCCTCATGGCTTCACACAATCCCCAAGGATTGCCCTCCTTTGAGAGCCACAAATCTTTCTCTTTAGAGTCCCAAACATTTGGAGTGTGGATCTTATTATTAAAAAAAAAAAAAAAAACCATTGCCGTTGAGTCGATTCCAACACATGGAGACACCATATTTACAAAGTAGGACCGCTCCATTGGGGTCTTTTTTTTTTTTTTGGCTGTAATCTTTACAGAAGCAGATTGCCTGGCCTTTCTTCCACAGCACTGCTGGGTAAGTTCAAACCTTTAGGTTAGTAGTTTAGCACAAACCATTTGCACCACCCAGGGAACTACTGTTATTTAATTGCTTCATGAGGGTATAATATCTCCCCAACTGGAGTGAGAGCCCCCAAGGGCTGGGATCATATCTTGAATACCTTTTTGTGTGTCCCTAACAGCCACACAACGCATATTATTTCCCTTATCCTGGCGATAAATACTTACTACACATTTACCATGTGTCAAGCACTGTGCTGAGCACTGGGATGCAAAGAATGAGCAGCATTATTAAATTGAATCAAGCCTCCATTCCCACCTGTGTCCCCATACCTCCAAGGATCAGTTCCCAAACCTGGCTCATTTTTCATTCCAAATTCTTTGAGACAAAGGGCCATTCCTGGGTATTTGGATCCAACTAGGCAAAAGGGAGAACTAAATAAAATCATAAGCCCTCTCCTTGGACAACATTCCCACTAGGGAGACCCTGGAGGACTCTAGATAATAGCATAATCAAGTATTAGCATGGAGTGTGGAGTATTGAGACTGGCATAATGCATAGGAGGAAGGGAATAGAGAAAGGAAATTCACATTTTCTTACTGTAATTTGGTCTATTGCTAAAACTCTGGCCTGCTTTATTCTGGTTTCCATTGACCCGTATATTAAGTCAAGACGTTTTTAAGTTGCAAGTGAACAGAAATCAAACACAAACTAGCTTAAGGAAAAAGGAAATGTTTTGGCTCATGTATCTGGTGAATCCAACACAAAGCTAGCTTCACCCCGGGTGACTAAAATAAGGAATTGAAAAGACATCATTAAGGTTCTCTCTCCTTCTACCTCTTGGCTCTGCTTTCCTAACAAAGCTTTTGTACCCAGTTATATAGTGTCTCCCCAAAATTCATATCATCCTAGAACCTGTAAATATGACCTTATTTCACTTCCGGCAAGATGGCGCTCTAGGCAGAAACACCACGCCGTCCCTCCACAACAAAGATCCGAAAAACTAAGCCAAACAGAGAATCAACAATCCTGAAACCCTAGAACATCA